GCTGCAATCCCAGGACGTAGGAGGGAGGCTAGAAGGTGATGCTCCAGGGTCCGAGGCCAGCCTGGGCTATGTTGATAATGCAATCAATGCTCTTGAACATAATTCCTTTTACATTGATTAGGTAGTCTGTGCCTATCAAGGACAACCTAAGTGGTTTGAGTTTTCATGGGCGTGTAAGGGTTCCGAGCTCATAAGCCCCGGTACATGCTGCTTCTGCTGCTTCCCACGGTTTGAAAATTTGTGCCCTAGAGAAGGTGTTTTCTAAATATGTTTTAGGTTTTTTCTTTCCTTCATTTTCTTTCTTCTTTATTTTTTCATTTTTCTTTCTCCCTTTCTTCGTTTTCTTGCTTTCTTTTTCCTCCTTTCTTTCGTGTGTGTTTGTGTGTGTGTGGAGGTCAGATGACAATTTGTATAAGTCAGGTCTCTCATTCCACCATATACATCCTAGAATTTGAACTCAGGTGTCAGGCTTAGCAATAAGCACCCTTACGTGCTCAGCCGTGCATTGGCCCACACAGAAGGTATTTAACATTCACTCTCATGGGTGAGAGGAAAGATAAGCCAGTAAGACAACGTCTCTAGTCAGAGAGGTAACATGCAGCCAGAAAGAATGCCCAGTCAGGGACCTCAGCTGCTGCCCTATGGAGGTAAGGACAGACAAACTGCTGGCCTCCCTAAGGAGGTAAGTACAGACAAATTAATTGCTAGGTTACTGTGGTAGTTTGAAAGAAAATGGTCCCCACAGGGACTGGCACTTTTAGGAGGTGTGGCCTTGTTGGAGGAAGTGTGTCACTGTGGAGGTGGACTTTGGGGGGTCTCATATTTGCTCAAGCCACACCCAGTGAGACAGACCACTTCCCGTTGCCTGTGAGTAGAGATGTAGGACTCCTAGCTCCTCTAGCACCATGTCTGCCTGCAGGCTGCCGTGCTTCTCTCGATGGCGATAACCTCTGGTGACATGTTTTCCTTATACAATGGCTGTTCTCACTGTCTCTTCACAGCAATAGAAACCCTGACTAAGACAGTTACCACACATACATCTCATTAAAACAAAATAAGGGGGCTGCAGAGTGATCTTCAGTCATGAAGTTCAGGCTCTGCCTCTGGGAAACCCAGGATTGGCTTCTTGTCACTAAAACACAAATGACATTAGAGCCATACGACTGTTTACGTCCCCAAGGAATTTACTCTGGATGCCTGCGCAGGCAACTACCTGCCTCGGTTCCCTACAAAGTAGGAATGCTGGACTAGATAGCATGGGTGTCTGCTCTAGCTAAGGATCTATAGTTTTAGAATAGACACAATGAGGAAATAGATTAAAAAAATACTTGGAAGAGTGTTTATGTAGATAAACATATGTCAAACATGGGTAGAGAGGGCCTGTGCAGACACATTGACATCTGCCCAGAGTCTCAAATGATCCAGTGTTCTTTTGGGCTGTTTGTGATGAAGCACTGTTTTCTGTGAACACGTGTCTGCCAATCAAGAGCGTTCTTGTAGAACATACTCATTAGAGCATAGTGGCCACCAACCTCAAAAAGTCACTTTCTGTATGTGTAGCTAATAGATATGGAGCAAAAAGCTGAGTGTCATTAAGGATAACTCAAAGTTATCTTTTGGTCCACAGTTTTCCATGGTTTATTAATGGCCCACCACATTAATTTTTCTCTCAGGGTGACCTTTCCAACACCATTAATCCTCCCGGCTTTTATCCAACTACATTATTTCTCATTAGAGTTTCAGCTTTCAACATCTACATTTGTTGAAAAGAGAAAAGTAAATTGTAGTCGCCTCAAACCCTTGGAAAACATGAGGGCTGTAGATATGGCGAGAGGCCTCAACAGGGTGGGGGAAGGAGATGTTTTCTTACAGTAACAGAGAAATCCATAGGATAAGTATCTTTAAATACACCCTTGCCTTTATATAAAATACTCGGCTAAACTTATTCTTTGGGGATGCTGAAGTAAAACTATCTACACACATGTACATATGGTTATACATGTTTATCTATAAGTTTATATATATATATAATAATTCTATTAGAAAGCAGAGTTTGAATCATATTTTAAAGTCAGCCAGATGTCAACACTGTGATATTTATGAACTCCATTTTTTAAAGGAAGAGAACCCTTTTTGCCAAGTCAAATATTTTCTTCCATGCTGAGAACACAGAAGCAAACCTAGTCTTCTGTCCTCTAGGACTGAGCAGAGTACAGAGCATAGCGGTGAGATGTGCGTGCAGGTTCCAGCCTTCGGTTTTCTCTGTTCTCATAGGAATGCCCCTGCCCCGTGCTGAATTCTCACTAACAAATCATCTGCAGTTGTGGTTTGTAAAATTAAAACATTTGAAAATATGTTTTTTTTTCTATGTCTAGTTTTCAGTGTCTGTGAACCTGGACTAATTTTCTATTCCTTTCTGTCTCAAACCAAAGACCTAGTTTCTCCTTTTCCTCAGGCCCGTCCTTCCAGCCGTCCTCTCTCTTTGATGGAAATACTGTTGCCTCACACTGAGGGCTGTGCATCTCTCTGCCTTTGTCCTCTTCCTCTTTGGAGAGGAATATTTGTCTGTCTCTGTCTGTCTGTCTGTCTGTCTGCCTGCCTGCCTGCCTACCTACCTACCTACCTACCTACCTACCTACCTACCTATCTCCATGTCTACTCAACTCACCAGTTACTTCTCAACCCCACATGTACAAGGCAAGTCCACCTCGCTGACTGAACGGTATCCTTTACTGGGCTGCCCTCGTTCTCCAAACTGCTGCAGTGGGGAATCTGCTGGAATCGCTCCCCTTGGTTTTCAGAGTCTAGCTATCTGTGAACACCAGCTACAGCCCAGGGCCTTTCTGTTTCGTGTTCTTCCGCTCTTCTGTAGAATGTGCCACCACCAAAGAACCTCCACGTGAAGCTGTTTCTCTGCCATGTAAGTTCTTTTATGAACTTAGAGCTGACTGGAAGAAATGGAAACTACCCAAGCTGCTCGCATAAATAGGATGTCTTTTCTGTGTGAGATTTTTGATGCCTTTACCAGGAGCTTTAATTACTGACTGATGGTTTTCCCACGATGCTTACATATATAGGCTTTTCCCCCCAGTGTGACTTCCTTGTGCTTCTGACAGTTACTGCACTGACTGAAGACTTTCCCATACTACTTATATACATGGCATTTATTCTTCATTGTTTTGAACAGTCTTTTCCGGAAGTGTTTTACCTAGAAAAATGTGTGGTAGAATTAAAATACGTTCAAATAATCTTTGAAATTTTTCCCTTCAGAAGTTGGAGGCTAATTCTCTTTTTGCGGGGTGGGGTTTCAGTAGAACAGATTTGATGCAGATTTGGTGAACAGGCCACAAGCACCCTGGCTTTCTGTTCTCCCTGGGAAGTTATCCTGCCATGTTATAAGCAGCTACAGGGAGAGTTCCCGTGATTACAAATGGAGGTTCCCAGCTACCGGTGCGGCAAATGAGTTGTCTGCCTCCAGTGTGGTCCAAAGGGGTCTGATGCTCTGGCCAGCATCTTTGCTTACAATCGTTTGAAATATCCTAAGGCAGCAATAATTAGTTGAGTTTTCCCTTATAAACTGAGCAAGTGTACAGTGAAGGGCAGGCAGTGGATTGGTTTTTATACAACTGTTAGCTAATCCAGTTGGTTCTCTGTGGTTCTTACACACTGGTTTCCGGTGAAATGCTCTAGGCAAGTAATAATCTCTGTGCTTTGGCATATCAGATAGTTTCACTGTTTCCTCCTGAGCACTTGTAGGTAAGTGCTTCCTTGTTCTTGGAAGTCAGCAAATACTAAGTTTCATTTGTATGTTTTCCTTCCAATTCTGCCCTACTTTCTTCTTGTTCGTGCTAATTGAAACTCCTGCGCCTCTGTCTGCACTCTGGAGAGATGGCTTTGTCAGACTTCCTTTCATGGCCTCAGGGAACAACACGGCTACCACACATGACAACAGCGCTTTCACTAGACACTGTCGTTCATTCATCAATACTTAAAGTTCTGATCACCTTGCTCTAAGAAGGGAAAGTCAAAATCTCATATGAGCGTGTTCCATCGCATCCCAGCCACATTGTCCCATTTTCTCTCTTGCTACTTTCTGCCATGTCGTTCAGCTTCCTAGGCAAGTTCCTGCATTTCATAGACACTTATTTTCCTGATCGTCTCTTCTTTTCTTACAGGCTAGAATGCCTATGAATACATCAGCTCTTCAAAGGTTAGTTTGAGTAGCGCTGTTTGTCACTTAGTCGATCTTGGTTCTTCCCAGGCATCTAACACTCACCTCTTTGACTACAGGATTACAGCTGTGCTCTGGTGTAGCCTTTAGCATTTATGAACTAGATTCTAACACCTCCCAAAGTAATCGTGTTCTACACCGGGGCTAATCTGTGCTGGAGGCTTCCTAATCAGAGAGAAGGAATGACTGTATCGAGGAATATGTGCTGAATTGAGTGTGTTTTAATTCATGTGTGAAAAATAAAAATAATAGTGTTGGTTAACTCGTCAGAAACTGTAGTTACAGGCAAACCAAAGGCTGCTCTTCACAGCCCCTGTTTGTGTGCAGTCGGAGTTTTCAGAGTGGAAGTGAACAAATTTCATATTCTGTGGTTGACAGTTGACCCGAACAAAATGGATCCCTCATTATACATTGTACACATCGCAACAATGGGAAAAAATCTCAGTGAGAGAAAAGGAAAGAAACTTGGGAGCAAAATTCTGGAACCACTTTTCACTACAATTAGACATTTATGCCTCTTTCAGAAAAATAAAGTAAAAGGCGAAGTTTCACACATAACAATAACTAGTGCTTTTAGCTTGTCAGGGGCGTAGAAATTTGAGCAGAAATTTCCCTTGCATGTTTAAACAGACCTTATGGTAGTAACTCAAATTACATCTCCCTCATTTGCTCAAGCCGTCCCCAGCCTATGTGTGACACACCATCTTAGATGATTTCATTCAGTTGCCATAAATGGACAGTCAACAAGAACAAGAGAAAGAGAACTTACCTATTGTGCTAACTCTCGCTGAAGGACTAGCTAACGCTGCTGGGGCAGAGGCTTTGAGGGGGCCCGCCCCACTGTTTATTCTCAGAGCTGGCATGTGGGGAGAGGTGGGTGATGTGGGTGATTTGCCATCAGAGGTCTTGGGTTTAGCTGATAGGTTCAGTGGCTGGGCCACTTCATCCTGCAAGGATCATTAGAACATGAGCTGTGACGAGGAAAAGCTAATCAGAGACATCGAGACAAACTGCCCCACAGCCTGCCATTTCCCATCTGGGATCTCAACATTTACACTCACCATTACAGTGCTTGGTTTGCTGCTGACATAGAGTCCCTTTCAACGGCACATTACAGAGCCCTGGTGTGCAGCGGCAAGTGCACATGCTCGCTACTGCCCACAGAAAGCTCTCACGTGATGCAGCCTGGGCTAACTGCTCTTAGGAAGCTATTCTCTGAACACATGCCCTTTCATTGAGAGACATTTATACACAGTTCATAGAAGATTATGCTGCTAGTCAGCTTTTTCTGTTTTGCTTTTGTTTTTAGATCTCTGGTGTAGACACAGCACCTGAACCACCTCTGTGTGTGTGGCTCTGAATAGAACTTTTCTCCCAATTGGATAAAAAAATAAATAAAACTAATACAGTTTTCTAAGAAAATAATTATTCCCCATGTTTCACAGAAATAATTTTAAATTTTTATCTACAAATGAGAATAAACATGATTAACACTATGATAATTCTCTATTACTTAAACACCCAAACAAACATCACCACATTCATAACATAGAATCCAGAAGAATGCTCAAGATATTCCTTGGCATGAACATCTGTATGAGACCAGTTTGGTACAGTTAGTGACATTTATTATTTTATGCTTGGAGAGTATAGCTCAATTTTATACCCTTCTCTACTAGCTCCGATAGCATTTCTGGATACAGTTCTGCTGTTTCTATTGCATTATGAGAATCAGAAAAGGCAACACTGCATTGCTTGCTCATCATTACAAATTATTTTATTCCTTTGCTCTAAAATTAGAATATTCTAACAGTTGTTTATATCAGATTCAGTACTGCTGAAATTTTACTATAGAATAAATGTTCAATTCCTTTTAAATATTATTTCATGAGCTAAGTGTATATGTAATATATATAAGCAGGAACTTTATTTGAAGTGAAAATATCTTTAATCAAAAAGGGTAAATAAAGAGCAGGCAGGCATATGCTAATCTCAACAAAAATTTAACTATCCACTATATACATACATGATTATACATACAAATATACATGTATGTCTATATATGAGCAAATTCTGGAAGCATTTCTCACTGCAATTAGCCATTTATACCTCTTAAAAAATAAACTAAAAGGAAAAGCTTCACACATAGCTAAACTGGAACTTTTAGATTTTCAGGGACAGTAGAATTTGACCATGTGTATTACATATACATCCACACATATATATGCACACATATATGTATATACAAGCTACTAAAACTAATCACTTTATAGGGAAAATAAATGACACAAGACACAAGACAAGAAGGCATGTTGTGCAAGGTGGTGTTTTGAAGGGGTCTTACGATAAAGTTATAGATTCTGCGCATTTAAGAAACCAGAGGACAAACTAGATAAAAGGATTCTTATAACCACTTTCTTTAGATCTGATTTGCACTGAAAAGAAAAGCACACTTTGTTGTAGTTGTTGTTTAAACCAATGAGGTAATTCAAATCGGCCATCTGGTACCATCAGAGAAATATAGTAAGTTAATGGCTATTATATGAATTTCTATTCATTAATAGACTCTTGGTAAGTAGTAAAATAAGATAGTTTCCTCACTGATAGGGTATATGACTTAGAGAAAATTATTTTTACACTTCAAAAGGTACAAAGGTCTTCTACTTAATGTGGAACTCTTGGTTGAGCTATTCAGTCAGAACCTCAGTTGGCAGAAACCCTCAAGTCATGTGTGTGTCCGTTTCATGATGAGCGGTTCTGAAGGGCTGTTCACAGGCCAGCACTGCCTGTGAAGCTGAGAACTGGCCGCAGGGCAAACTGTTACAGATACTTGGACGTGGGGTCCAACAACCTGTGTTTGAACGAGTATTTTCCAGTAATTCTATTGTACTCGGAAGGTTGGCAGCTATTGATTTATAAAAGAGGCAGTTTAAAAAAACATTATATTAGGTTTCAAAAAGCTTCCTCGATGGAAGGGTATGCAATTTAAAATATGTAGTATGACTACATTCTTTGAAATTTGGTTGGGATATATACTAATAAAATTAGAAACCATTGTGTGCATAAAAACCCAGCGCTACAAAGATTGGCCTGGTGCAGGGGGCAGAGTGAGGAGTTCTGGGATAAGAATCCGTACCTTCTCCATCAGTTAGGATCCTGACAGCCTGGTAGATTATTAAGACTACTTACTGTGTAGCTGTAAATGTCCCACCCGCTCCTCTCCCTACCACACAGCGCGCTTGTGTCTACCCGCTGTGTGAAAGCCAAGGCTTCAGTGGCGTCCTGAGGATAGGAGCAACAACCCTTGTAGAATGTTCCTGGGGAAGCTTTGGCAAGTTAAATGGAGTGACTGCCCCTGACGGTGTAGTGAGATGGTGGGAGGATAAGGCAGGTGCATCCCCACATCCGGAGTGGGAGATTGAAAGCACAGAGACAGGAGAGGGTGAGTGTGGACCTGCGGGAGGAGTGGCAGGACTGATGGACTGGAGGGAATGGGGGATCACGGCACAGTGGAGTGCCACATGTCTGAGCTTTAAACACTAACAGCTGTTACAGGTGCATGCTGACGGGCGACTCGGTTGTTCATGGAGGCTAAAGATGCTCTGGATCTCTCAGTGCGTCCTTCAAGGCAGGGCACATGTCTGAAAGGCAGAAAGTGCAGGGCCCCAAGGACATGTGACAGGTTGACAGTTCCAGTTTGATAGGAATGTCATTCACATTTGCCCTTTGGACTCTGCTCCACGGTGTGACAGACTATCGGTATATTTAATGGCAACTCGCATGTATGATCCCGGATGCTGGGAACTGCGCAATAATTTTCTTCCATTATATTATATCTCACAATTTGGTCCATTTTAATAATTTACTGCTGCTGAGATCACAAAGCAAGGCCCATTACTCGTGAAGAACAGGAAACTTGCAGAACACTCCAATTTTTCTCTTAATTATTGTTTATTTGACTAAATGATAATTCTACAGCACTTAACTGTAAGATGGGCCAGACCTCTTTGTTGGTGGTGTGCATTCTCAGGGTTATGGGTGTGGCCATAGTCGTGGAAGGCACAACATTATCTACCTTGGACTTCACTTGTAGTTTCTTATTTAGAAAAAAAAATAATTGAACTGCTTAGCAAGGTCAACCTCTATTCCTACCGGTAAAGCATACATTATGACATAAACCAATAATTCGCATATAAAAGCCTCTGAGTAAATTCCAAGGTCAGGGAAACATTTCTCCCCAGTCCACCATCAAGCAGGGAGGAGAGCACTTTCCTTTGTGCCCCTCAGCCAACAGTCAAATGAGGTTGCCACAGTGAAACTTTTAAAATCATTGTGACTTTGTAATTGTTTCTTTTATACATAAAATGATAGTCCTCAGGATTTATTTACTTTTTGAATAATTCCAAATGATAAATGTTTTATGAACATCTGAACATAAACAGCCATGTAAGCTGAAGCAAACACATTTCAGCTCCTGGAAGACAGTTATTTACATTCGCAGATCTCATTATAGATACTCCAAATCGCTCATCTGATCTTCAATACCACGATGATTTGTTTGTTTGTTGTCCTGATCCTCTTGCCTCTCCCTCTCAAGTGTCAGGATCAGAGATGTGTGCCACCATGCCCTGTCTATCACCGATGATGCTATCAAGTAACCAATAATTTATTGCATGGGGCTCAGATAGTTCTAAGTAAAACCTAGTGAAAGCTTTGAGATGTCATGCTTTCTTAACATACACACTCACTTTTATCCTACAGTTTAGGAGCCAAACTTCTTGTATATGCTGGAACTGTAACCTGACTTTATATTTATGTCACATAATCACACAAAAGTTCATGTAGATTCAAGAGTGAAGTCATACACATGCCTGATATTTCATATTCTGGCAAAAGCTATGCAGGCCAGTTGACTCAATTTAGTAACTTTTGGTGATTATTGTCTATGTTGTATCACATAAAATATTTCATAATGTTGATATTTAGACTACTTGTTGAGAAATTAAGGTCTCTCTCCTAGTAACCTCAATTGTCAACTTGACATATTCTAGAATTACCTGGGAAAGAAGTCTTGATAGAGTAATTTTCTTTATACAATTGGCCCATGTGTGGCTTGTCTGTGGGGGGAGTCTCTTGATTGTTCATTGATACAGAAAGACTTAGCCCACTGTAGGTGGCACCATTCTCTAGGCGAGTGGTCCCGGGATGTATAAAAAAGCTAGCAATGCATGAGCCTGCAAGTAAGCCAGCAAGCAGCGTTGATCCATGGTCTCTTCTTTAAGTTTATGCTTGGGTTCCTTCCCTGATTTCCTTCCCTGATGGACTGTAACCTGGAAGTGTAACCAAATAAACCCTTTATTCCCCTAAATTGATTTTAATCTCAGTGTTTTAAATCACAGCAACCTAAACATCCTACCTGGTACAAGAATGATATAGAGATAAAATTCTGAATCTCCAGAGAGAAATTTTAGGAATCTACTGCCAAATATGACTTTTAATAAACTACTGGATTATCTTCGTTGCCTGAGAACATGAAGCAAGTAATAACAAGCAAACATCTAACACAGCCGTGCTGCATTCAGCAGCAGCTACTTCGGCTCATCTGAGAGGTACAATCTCATTTAACAGCTGGGGCCTGAGGAGCAGAGGCCTTGATTACTCATTATCCTAGTTAGCCAGTCCTACAAGGAGGTAAAGAAATGGATTAGATGAAGCAAAGAATGCAGCCCGAATCTACAGCTGTAGATCAGCTCGCAGAGCCATCATCGGGGACCCCAGGACCATTCTATGCAAATACCATAAGGTAACAAAATTAAAATGTATTTCAGATTATAGCTTCTGGCAGGTCTATCGTTGAGAACATGCTCCTTTGCATAGTTGTATACTGTCTTAGGTTTGTTTTCTGTTGCTGTAATAAAACCATCATGGAAACCAACATGGAAAGGAA